AAACTAATACTTGAATCAAATGAGCATTTTGTTGTAGATTTAACACATGGCGTGAACTTATTGGCCAAACACTGTTCACAATTGACATCATTGGCACTTGAGGTCAAAGATTACGTTCAAATGGCATCACAACCAGTATTGTTAAACATTGAATCGCTAATCAATTTGATTAACCTAGCGTGAACTTATTGGCCAAACACTGTTCACAATTGACATCATTGGCACTTGAGGTCAAAGATTACGTTCAAATGGCATCACAACCAGTATTGTTAAACATTGAATCGCTAATCAATTTGATTAACCTAGATATAAAAATTAGATCCCATGTGATTGCTGCTAATCCTCCTAAAATCAAAAAGAGAGCAAATAGTTATAGGTATTAAATTGGTTAACTGTAAATTAGTTAATTGCTAATTGATATAAATAATTATAATAATTTTTTACAAATGTTATAATTTTTAAATAGATTTTTCTTCAACTGTTTATTTGCTGAAAATGAAGAGTTGGAAACACCGCCCGAACCCATCGAGTTGGGATCACTGGCATCACTGAAATCAATGAAACAATTGAATTCATTACATATTCTGTACAAGAATTTAAATGATAATCACTTTCAAAACATTAACAATTATTGTCCACAACTCAAGCGTTTAGTTTTGAAAACACAACAAAAGCTGTCAAACCAAACGTTGTATTCCTTATCAAAACTAAAATCACTACAATTATTGAAAATATATTCAACGCCTTATAAAATGACTGAAATATCTGATGACGGGATCTGTTGTCTTATAGACAACTGTCCACATCTGCGGGTATTAACGTTGAAATGTGGGACAACTGTTACCGAAACCACATTTGATGCCCTCAAGAGTCGGGTCAACCGATGGCCGCACAGACTCTTTGTATTTGAATACTGTTGGCGACGGACTAAAGAGCAGCACTCGATTGTATGGACAGAAAACGAGGGTTTTGTAAACGCTGACAGATTTTGGCCACAACTGCTATCAATGCCCGAGAATTTAATTATCTATAGCCGCGAGTATTATACGGGTTGGTGCGGCACCGGTGCTCTCACTGAGCAAAATGAATATGCTGATTTGTTTAAGACTGATAAGGAATGCGATGTAAATGAACATGCTGTAGTGGATTATGGTGAATATAGAGGTTGTAAATATTGTTTTACTGTTTAAGTTATTTACTGAATATATCAAACATAATAATAAATATGGAATAAATCTATTAGTGTTTCAACTATTAAAAAAAATTATTATTATTAATTATTACAAAACTATTTTTTAAATTATATTTAAGTTAGCGCCATGCATAAATAAATTATAACTAAAAACTGTAATATTTGATTAGTTTATTTTTATTGATAGTTGCCAAGTGTGTTGCTGTCATAGTTATACAGTAAAGTAACTTACAGTACGTAAAAGTTTTAAAACAATTGTTGCCCAGTACAATAAAATTGAATCTATAATTTTAATTGTGAGGCAAAAATTTTAGTAGATTGATTTTATAAAGAATAACTAACATATAATTTTATATTTAACAAAATTAAACATCAAGTTAAATGGGCGTTAAATGATCTATATGAAAATGTTTATTAACTGGTGTTCACTAGACTATATTTGTTGTCAATATTTTAACACATGAAAGAAATGATCAAATGTTTACGTGTAATTGATGTTAGATTACATGATGTAATCATGTTATGTAAAATGGTTCATTTACAAAACAATCGATATTAGTTTGAATTAATTAATTTAATTAATAAGTTATATATTTTAATTCATTCGACAAAAATGTTATTTAATTTTAACGACGATTTATGTTCACTAATCCTATCGTATCTGTCAATTGAGGACCGGATAAGACTAGAGTGTGTGTCCAAACAGTGGCACCGATTGGCATATAATAGTGTCCACGAGTTGTCTTATCCCATTTGGTGGCTTAATCATAGGTATACCAATGAAATGACCGATAGGCAAAAGTTGCATATTTCTGGCGGTTTATTACAAAAATGTCATTTTGTGCGATCACTAAAGGTATGGCCGGTTTGTGACCAAACGGTACTGACATTAGTGGCACAAAATTGCTTTAATTTGTATGAAATTAACTTCCGTTTTGACGGTTCTCAACAAATTGATGATAATATACCCAATAATATTTGGCGATTATTTGCAATCAATTGTGGTAAAACTCTTGAGAGAATTGTCATACGCCCATTTAATCTGGGTCATTTTTATGCAGGTAATTAATTTTTGAAACTTGTTAATTTTTAATACAAACTAGTTTAACATTCGAACTGTTAAAAACTACTACATAATTAATGCAAGATAATTAAAATTTGTATTTTTTAAATTGATTTTAGACGTCTTTCTCTCTCATCTAATAAACTATCAGTTCTTTTATGAAGAGTTCCGGAATATTAGTTTAGGAATTGATTCCCAGAAATGTTTAAATCTATTCAAACAATTCGCGAATAATTATTGCCAAACAATAACTTCATTGCAATTGACGTTAAAATTCAATAAAAATTACAATGAATTTAATGAAACATTTGAAGCGATTTCATGTTTCAACAAAATAAAAACGTTAAAACTAATACTCGAAAGTAATGAGACATTTGCTGTAGACTTATTATCTGGATTAAACTTGATATCCGACAAATGTCCCAGATTGACATCACTGGCATTGGAGCTCCGGGATTGCACTAAACTCACAAAATTACCTCTATTAACAAACTTGTATAACATGATCACAAGATCATCGCAATCAACATCCATACTATCAAACTTGCGATTGTTAGACATTCATATGAGAACTCATACGAGAGATATGTTTTCAATGGACTTTTTAAAAGGGATTAAGGATTTACAAGCGATTAAGATTCAATGCAATGGTGTTAATGATAATCATTTACAACACATCGATAAATGGTGGCCATGTTTAAAAAGTTTAACCCTTATAACAGATCACAAATTATCAAATGACATATTGTTTTCGGTTTCAAAGCTAAAATCAATACAAGTGTTGGCATTATATTCAACGCCTTATATGTTGACTGACATATTAGACGCCGGGATCTGTCATCTCATAGACAACTGTCCAGATCTACGGGTATTAACACTGAAATGCGGGACAACTGTTACCGACACCACATTTGATGCCCTCAAGAGTCGGGCCAACCGATGGCCGCACAGACTGTTTGTATTTGAATACTGTTGGGTGAGGACTGAAGAGCAGAGCGCTATATTGGGTCAGAACTACGATTACACCAGAGCTGACATATTATGGCCACAATTGCTATCAATGCCCAAAAATTTAGTGATATATAGTCGGGAGTATTTTTGCCGCTCGTGTAGCGCCAATCTGGTGTCAGAGATGATGTACCATGGTGCTAGATTTGTTACCAACAGGGATTGGGATGAGAATAATCAATGGATGGTTGAGTATAATAAGGATAGGGCTGAAGATGTTTACGCTATTAAAAAGTATTGCTTTTACGGTGACGTCGATCCCAGGCATGTGTCAGATATGATCCACTATAAGACTAATAGCTTTGATAATTTATAAATTAGTTTTGCAATAATTAAAATAATACTGTACTAGCTTTTGTTAACAAGTTCATTATATAAATGTGAAATTACATATTCACTTATTACTTGTTAGTTATGGTAATATGTAATAATAATTGTGTGTAAAATACATTTATTGCAAATATAAAATATTTATTTATTAAAACAACAAAAAATTAGCCGACATTTCCATTACAAGTGACATAATTATAATTATTGTTACAGTAATAAATACAATATTATTATTTATTAATTTTGCTTAAATAGAAATTTATTTTAATTGATAAAAGTTAATATTTGAATTATATTGCAAAATTATAATGTTAATTTTCTTGAATCATTAATGCCATCAGTAATTTTTGTTGTATTTCAAAATCTGAAATTGTTAAATTTAATTACATGATTGAAATAATGCTACTCTATGTATTATAAATTACTAGGGTATTTAAAACTTACCATAATTATATTTGCAGTATTTGGTGGCTTTATTTACAGCACTCGCAATTACAGCCCGAGCCCTTACAGTTGCAGTTATCACATCCGCCGCACAAAACTATTGACTTCATGTTTCACAACAAATCGCTATTTCTTAACAACTTTTGAAAATGTTTTTTGTTTTCAAAACAATTACTTGTTTTTAATTATTCCGAACTGAGATTCGCACCCCTTTTTAAACCATGTTCATTGAGTGCTGTGCGCAAAAATATACGGGTTGTGTGCAAAATATCGAGGTGTCGGCTGCAAAAATGAGCGAGATGTGTGCAATAAAAATTATCTAATCATTGCATTATGCAATTTGCGTGTAATCATCATGGGTATTTCCATGTCTATTCGCCTAACATAACAGCAATAACAACATTATCTAATCTTTAAATATAAAGATTAATTTTGTATTACATGTACAAAGAGTTTGCGATATTAAGCTATAGTATACTGTATATAATTTTATTGCACACAGCTCGCTCAATTTTTGCACCCGACACTACGATATTTTGCACACAACCCGCATAATTTTGCGCACAGCACTTAATGAACATGGTTTAAAAAGGGGTGCGAATCTCAGTCCAGAATAATCAAAAACAAGTAATTGTTTTGAAAACAAAAAACATTTTCCAAAAGTTGTGAATTCATAGCCATTTGTTGTGAAACATGAAGTCAATAGTTCTGTGCGGCGGATGTGATAACTGCAACTGTAAGGGAGGCAGTTGTGACTGCGAGTGCTGTAAATGACAGATCCCGGGGCCGATGGATCCCACTGTAAGTGTTATTATGATTACAAAATACTTTGTAATGATATCTTAATTGAGTTTGAATTCAAAATGTGAAATTTATATTTAATTAAATTTTATTTATGCATTCATTACAGATATTTGTAGAAATCGTATGAAGATGTTTGTGTTGAAACTTTTAATGAAAATATGTTTTTAAATCTCACACTTTTAAATAATGAAATAAAATTTGTTAAAACATTGGCTAAAATTTTGAATAAATAAAACGATATTCTATAAATAAAGCAATTCAATCTTTATTAAAAATTACATATATTTTATTTTATAAACATTTATGCTTATATTTACAACAATTTCAGTTTAATTATTTATTATCATGCACAAACACATGCCTGGAATACGATCTAATAGCTCCTTCCATATTCTTATCGTATATAATAAATAGTTTTCAAGTGAACAAAAAATAAAAACATAGATTTTCGTTAGATATACAGTACATTTGTGTCATTATGATAATTTGTGGAAAATATTGTGTGAGTGATATATTGGCAAATGTTTAAATGTTACAATTAATTTATTTTGTTTTATTTAATTTCCTGGATTTTATTTTAGCTATGATATCAATAAAAATTATTATTTATGCACTGTTTCAGATTTTAATCACAATATAATACTTCATTTAGGAAATTACAATTTTTAATTTTTATTAAATTCTTTAATTTATGATATAAATTATTAATAATAACAAAAATCAATGGACAGCGCAAATAACCTTTTAATACAGCCCTCACCCACACTATCCCTTCAATGGATGACAGTATTCGCAGTATTATTACAGAGACAACAGATTCACGACTCGTTTGCCGATCGGATACTAACAAAGAGTACGTATGACTTCATAGTCGTGGGCGCCGGCAGTGCGGGTGCTATAGTTGCCTGTCGTTTGGCCAACAAATACGGCAATAATATACTGCTATTAGAGGCGGGTGGGGCTCAGGACGCCGTACTGACAGACATTCCCGGTATGTTTGTCTACAGTTCTAAGGACTCGAGCCGTTTCTGGCATTATGTTAATCAACCGCAACCAGAGGTCGGGCAGGCGTTTTTCAATCGCCAGGTGACTGAATCTATGGGTCGGGTATTGGGCGGCGGATCCACAATGAATCGCATGATTTACAATAGGGGTAATCATAAGTATTACGACAGTATTGTCAGTGATTTCGGTGCCAACGGTTGGAGTTATGCCGAAGTGTTGCCGTATTTCAAGCTCTCGGAAAACAATACCGACCCTAACGTCAGTTCCGTATATCACGGCCGCAACGGACCGGTAGGGGTGTCGTCACCGGACATAATAGACCCTATGTTATTAGCCTGGCAAAAGGCGATAATTGAACAAGGTTTTCCCATTGTAGACATCAATGGGCGGACACAATATGGCACAAGTATTTTACAGATAACAGCAAAGGATGGTCTGAGACAATCTACAGCCAACTCATACTTAGAAATGTCAAACATATGCCCCGATTTAAATATAGTATCAGGGTCGTATGTGACCAAGGTACTTATTAAAAGTACATCAAAAGGTCCAATGGCTTACGGCGTAGAGATGACAATGGGATACAAACACTATACTATTGAAGCTAAACAAGAAGTTATAGTGTCTGCTGGTATTGTTGTCTATATTATAAACTTATTATTTATACTAGATAATTTTATAATTAACCATATTAATATTTAAATACCACATGACAGGTACGTATGGTTCGGCACACTTATTACAATTGTCTGGTATCGGCCCCCGAGAGCTGCTAAACACTGTGGGCGTAGGGCCCGTATGGGCTGACCTGCCTGTGGGTCAACATTTGCAAAACCATATTGGCTTCGCTATACCGATGCTCATCGTTAACGCGAGCGCAGTATTGCCGGCACCGCAGCTCAATGTGCAACAAATGTACCAGGCACTATTTGGCCAACACACCGGTCCCTTAGCCTCTCAGAATATCGCTTACCTGTTGTTCAACTCGAGCGTAAATTCCGACTGGACTTACCCAGATATAATGAATGAAGTGACCTTGGTCACTCAGCACGGACTGGGCTCAGTGAACGGCGCGCCCATTGGCGAGCAGCGCAAATCTGAATGGGATAGTTATTTTGAGCACCTGTCGTATAACAATTTTTTGGAAGTGAGCCCGGTTCTATTGCGGCCAAAAAGTGTCGGCTCCGTGTGGATAAACACGACCGACCCGTACGCTCTGCCCGTTATAAATAACAACTATCTGAAACACCCGGACGACAGACGGGCTCTATTGGACGCCATTTCGTACGCCTATTATGTCATTGAAGAGACATCTGTCCGTCAGTACGCGTACGTCAACCCGCAGCCAATGCCCGGCTGTCGGTACTGCCCGACTGGACCCGTATGGCAGTGCCAGTCGTATCACAATTGTATGATTCAACAAAGTGCCAGAAGCTTTCAGCA